TTTACTGTTCTACAATTCTGTGAGACATAGCCTCACAATAGTTCCCTGCCCCCCAACCCTTTATTCTTGAGCAAGTTTGAGTGGGTTTCTGTTCCCTGCAACAAAATGTACCCAGACTAAGACAAGGGAAAATTGGGGATATAAGTGCAGGGCTTGCATAAGCAAAAACACATAAAGAACACTTGTAGGGAGGGGTGGATGCAATTATAAAACATTTATGTTTTTTCACCCAAATGCTCCCTCATTTCCCGACACTTGCTACCACAGACACACGCTTATAGCCACACACTCACACACACTGACATTCCATGGCACACAGAAACAAATGCAGCAAAAACCAGCTTTGTTTCTATGCAGACACCCTGACATGCGTGGACATGTCAGCACACAGCGCTACCCCTGTGCTCTTCACACCCGCACAGACACAGAGCCAGCCAGCATGCAGGAGCGCACCCACACGCACGAACACAGTGGCATTGCCCAAAAGGCTTGGGGCAGGAGTGAAGGCTTCACTGGGCTCGGCGCACCCTCCCTCCCCTGCTGCCAAGTGACTCATTCCCAGGGCTGCTAATTAAAGCCAGGACAGAGGGGACAGAGGCGAGGGGAGGGGAAGTGCAAGGGGAGAGAAGGCAAGTTTATTTTGGTGCCAACCAGGCATGCAGCCAGCTTAAGGGTCACCCACTTTGTGGGGCCAGGCTGGGCAGGGGTAGAGGAATGCAAATGCGAAGGAGAGGACCCTCTTAGCCCTTCTTGCCCCTCGTGAGCTTCCTGGAAAGGTATCTCCTTTGGGAAAATTACCCAACTCCACCTGCCTCCCTCTTCCTCCATCCCACTGTTAGATTCCAGCTCTACCCCCTCTAGACTCTTGTCCTTACAACCGGCTTCTCCTCATTAGCACACTCCCATTTGGGCTTGCCAGAGCTAGCTCATCTGTATCTGTACCTCACTTCCATCCCCCCTCCATGCATCACCCACCACAGGCCCAGTACACAGGGAATGCTCTGTATGTACTCCCGGAATACAACTGGGTTAACCCCAGGATAGCATGGTGACCACAACTCTAATGGTCTGGATTCCTATGCTGGTTCTACCATGGGGTAAATCATTTTAGCTCTCTAAGCCTTAGTTTCCTCATCTGTAAAATGACAAGACTATAGGATTATCGTGAGGATTAAATGAGAGAACACAGGTAAAGTGCCCAGCATGGTGCCTGGCATATAACAGCTTTAGCTATTACCCAGTAAGTGTTGCTGCTGCTGCTAACTAACACCCTGCCTCAGGCCTAGGGTAGCAGCAATTATCCAGAGCCAAGTTCCAAGCCTGGCCCCACCACGTATTACCTGGGGACCTCAGACAGGTCCCATAAGCTCTCAGAGTATTGTCTCATATGTAAAATGGAGATTCGCAACATGACCCCATAGATTTACTGTGAAGATTTGAGGATGTCAAGTGTGCTGTGTGGAGCTCAGCTCTTAGAAGCAGCTAGATAAATCGTAGCACTGATTACTAAGGATAGCAGGAAGCGCTCAGACCCTTGGGCCAAAGAAGCCCAGGAGAGAGGAGGCAGTCAAGGTGGATTAAGGCAGCCAGGGAAGGCTTCCCAGAGTGGGTAAGGCTGAAGTTGGACCCCTCAAAGCCAGAGAGCATTCAGCAGGCCATGAGCAATGAGCTTCTAGGCAAAGGAAGTGTGGCAACAGAGAGCTGCGCAGGGTGGGCAATCAAGCTGTGCTGAACAGGAGGCAGCATGGGAGGGAAGAGCTGGATGTAGCTGGGGCAGCTCTGGGGACTGGTGGTGTCTTGGACATGTGGATGGGGGAACTACGGAAGGTCCATGAAGTCTCAGCCACCCCAGATTGCCAGGAGGTCAAAACAACGAAGAATCTTAGAGATTATCTAATCCAAACTCCCGTTGGACAGATGGGGGCACTGAGGCCCAGAGTGGGAGGCCTCCTCTGGGAACAGAGCCAGCAGTGGCTCCTCCTCCCACTTCTCCTCCTGACTGCAGTGGCAGCTGCTCCCGTTGCCACGGAGACGTCCCTGGCTCCCCCACCCCCTCCTTCCTTCCCTAGCAACAGGCCACCTCCTCTGGCTCTCCTCTTTGCGTGCCTAGCAACCCCAGCCTGGTCCCTAGGGCCCCTGTGTTCCAGCCTGACCTCACTTCAGCTGCAGCATTTCCAGGCCTGGGCTCCCTCTGCTTCTGGTGGCAGAGTTATTGGCCCCCACTGCCCCTCTCTGTTTTTAAGTTCCACACTTCACATTTCTCAAGCTTGCCGATCCAGTATATGACAATGGAGTGGGTTAGGGGAGGGCGCAAGGCACTATACAATGTAATGAGCCACTATTTTATGCTGAGCACTGCTTTACTTCAAGTTCTCTCATCAACCCAGAGAAGTCAGAATTATTGTCCCCATTTTACCAATGAGGAAACTAAGGATCAGAGAAGTTAAGTGATTTCACAAAGAGCACACACAGCTAGGAAGTAAGCTCTGCCGACAGCTAGCTTTGTGACCTTGAGCCATCACCAGTCCCTCTCTGGACCTTGGTTTAAGGTGCCTGTAGGTTGACAACTTCTCACAAATCTACAGGAAGTCCAGGCACCTTCCTCTGCCCACAGCCCTCCTGCACCACCAGTTGTTCAGCTCTAATTAGACTCCACACTTCCTCTGGCACCCCATCCTTAGAAGCCCTCAGGCCGGAGCCCTGCCACAGGTGGTTTTCAATCCAGCAACCCCACTCACTCCTTGCTGTTCTGCTTCCACAACAGCCAAGGCCTAGCCCCTCTCCTTGGTGTTCCTTCTATGCTCCTAACCTTCCCCCTCCACACACTCCCAATGTTTATTAGATGAGGACACTGGGGCTCCAAGGGGCAAACAGATTTGTCCAAAGTCACGTAACTAGAAAGGAACCTAGCCATAGACGGAGCCCTGTGCCTGGATCCAGTTGCCGCCCTTTCTATGCTGCAGAGCCCAGCCTCTCTCCTCCAACCTTCCCCAGCTCCCACTGACGACAGAAGGCATGTGTGACCCAGCCCCAACCAGCATTCTGAACTTTAACATTTGCTTCTTTCCTGCCCAGATCGTTTTAGCCCAACCGACTACCCCCATCTCTAGTTCCACCGCACTTCCGATGCATGCTGGTTCCATTTCCAGGGCTGCCCTCCTTATGCAAAGTGTGCATGTTAGTCCTCCACAGCCCAGCTCAGGAAGCTATCCCTGACCCCTAACTGAAGTAAGCTCAAGAATTTACATGCAGGTCCTGAGAGCATCATCAGACGGCCCCACCTGGCCCTGGTTCCAAGATAAACGGTCTTCCCACCACGTTTGCAAGATCTTGCCCCACAAGGGCTGTGTTTTAGGCCCCTCCACAGCCCAAGTTTGATCCTTGTTCTCCAGTTGCCAAGTTCTCAAGGCCTCTGTAGCCTCCTTGACTGTGGGCCCAGGATAGATGTCGGGAAGCATGTCTTAGTTAAACAAACGCTGGTTTTGGAACCAGACAGCCCAGGGTATGAGTCAGAGTGATGCCACCCTGCCCCACTGCTCTTCTTTCCTTGGGCAAGGCATTGACCCTCTGGGGAAGTTCATTTTCCTCATCTATAAATTAGGGATCCTAATCCATGTCTAAAAGGGTGGTTGTGAGCATCAAATAAGATCATGTTCAGAGTTCTTAGTATGTAAGGAGCAAATGATAACTGTTATTATTACTAATATTAGGATGAGGATGATTATTATCTGCAAGACTGTCAAGAGCTCCCACAGGGATGGCATGGGCAGAGCTCTTAGCTTGATGCCAGGCAGACCTAGGTTTGAATCCCAGCTCAGCCATATATTAGTCGTGTGGCTGTAGGCAAAACCCATAACCAGGCCGAGCTTCAGTTTCCTCAACTGTAAAGCAATGATGATAAGGTCGGCCCAGGTTCCACCTACAGCGTCAGTGAGAGGATCACGCCAAAGAATTTCCCTGACAACTTCTGTAAGTTGTAAAGGCCCAATATATGTCACCATATGACTTGTGATTATGATAATTATTAAATACCCTGAACTATAGGTCGCAAGAACTCCCCTGCTGGCAGGAGCTGCGAGGTAGAGATGCCTTCAATTGGGTTCCTCGACAAGTAGCAAGCATAGCAACAAGGACGCCTGGGGTCCTGTGCTCAGAGTCAGCCCAAGTTGCCTTTCTCCAAACCCACAGTGGGACAGTAGGATCCACATCATTTGCTAGACTCGTGCCTTCCTAAATGCTTGGACAGGCTGTGTCCATGCCGTACTCCTTGGCTGCATGCTGGGACTAAATGTGTCTCATCATATACCCCTTGCCTAGACACTGGGCCTGACTGCATCCATCACATTCTTCCTGCTTTTCTGCTGGCCAAGTGAGCTCCCATCCCACAGCCTCTACTTTGGCCCTAGGCATGAGTGTGCTCATTCCATACCCCCTGCCTGGGATGCTAGGACATGGTGTGTCTCATTACACACCTCCGTCTGTATGCTGGGATCCTCTGCCCCCCCTCTCCCATATCCACTGCCTGCATGCCAGGACCTGGGCTGCTGCATATGGTTGGGCAAGCTGTGCCTTGCACAAGAGTTCATAGCCAAGAGGGCATGAGTTGGAGCTGAAATCCAACCTGTGCTCTCCGCTCACCGAGCTGGGAACCCTGGTAAAGGGCTGCAGTATATCAATGGAAAGGGAACGTTCCTCCAATCCACTGATCCATTCAGTGGATTCTACTCTTCACAAACGTCCTGTATATGCTAGTCCAGCGTACCCATCCTATGCTTCTGCTGCCTGGACCCATGTCATCTCAGAGGCCCACCCCATCGCCCCTGACCTGGGTGCTAGGAGTGACTGGGCCCTACCCTCAGTCCCCCATCATTCTCAGAGAGTCCCTATACTTGACATTCGTGCTTCACAAAGCTTCTGATAGGTTAAGGCCTAGGAAATGCACAAATAGCCCTTGTCTCTACCCTAGTTTTACTCCCGCCTCCTCAAGTGGCAGATTGATCACACCTTAAAATCTTACTAAAGCTTGTAAACCTTTTTTATCAAGCATGCAAAAAAAATGTGCAGTTATCATAATGTATATTTCTATTAGCAATAATCGCGCCTCAGATAAACCTCATTGGCTACGATACTGCCATTGCACAAAGCTCATAATGTATATTTCTAATGTGTAGAATGTGTCACATCAAAAGTCTATCCAAATCCCACTACTCAGGGCTAGTGCAGTTCAGGGTAGAGCGCAAACGCCAGACCAGGGAAGCACCACTTCTATTGTGCTCCCTTCTCCTAGGAGGAGAAGATGTCAAGTTCAGGGCTGACCTCTCTGTAGGTTGGCTTTCTCATCTGGGCAGCTCCCATGAGCCCCTCCAGGGTTCAGCCCAGGCCCTGAATCATTTAGGGTCAGAAGAACTGAGGAGCAGTTTTCAACTCCCTCCCCATGCCCGTCACATTCACCCCAGCCCTCCAGCCCACTCCATACCCACCCCTAATACCAACAGGACAAAACCCCTGGAGTTGGCCCCCACCCCTGCCCTTGGATCCCGAAGTAACAAAATGGAGACCCCTAGCCCAGTCCCTGCTCCATCTCCCAACAACAAAAGAAAGGAGGTACTGACCTGACTGTTCTGGAATTCTCACCATCAGATCTGAAAAGGAAACAGAAAAAAACCTGACAGTCAGCATATGCTCTCTACTCTTCTTCTCCCTCTGCCCTAGGCAGTGGCCTTGAGGCCTAACACATGTTATGAAAATGAGGGGTAGGGTATTTCGCGTAGAGAGAATAGCCAGTTCAAAGGCCGTGAGATGGCAAAGGGCCTGGCCAGTTGTTGGGACAGGGAGGAGGACAGTGTAGCTGAGGTGAAGTGAGTGAGGGGAAGTATGGTCAGAGGTGAGGTCCAAGAGGTGCCAGGAACCAACCATGTGGGGCCTGGTGGGTCATGGTGAGGAGTGAGGCCTTCCTCGGAGTGGCTGAGAGGCAGTCTGCAGCTGCAGGCATGGGCAAAGCCCAAGCTTTAAACACAGAGAGACCTAGCTTCAGATATTGACTCTGCCACTTACCAGGCCTGTGACCCGGGCAAGTCACTTCCCCTCTCGGAATCTGAGCCTCAGTCTCCCCACTTGTAACATCAGGCCAATCCTCATAGGGCTGTTGGGTGATTCAGCCCTTTGGAACCCAGCAGACAAATGCCAGGTATTATTAACAACATGGAAAAGGCTTTGCCAATTGCCTGGTCCAAGCTGCTTATTTTCCAGATGAAGAGAATTAAGCTGAGAGGGTAAGTCAGTCAGCTGCTGGGCTCCTTTCTATTACATTGGTCTGCCTTCTTCATCATGAGGCACCCTCAGAGGCAAAGGAAGGGCAAGGGAAGAGAATGGAGTTGGGGACAACTTTGAGGGAACCAAGGAAATGAGTGAAATCTGAACCACACCCCTCCAGCTGCTCCTCCCCGAGAGGAATGTGTGTGCATGCACACATGTATGTGCGTGTGTGCGTGTGTGTGTGTGTGCGTGTAGTGGAGGGAGGGTTAGGACAGTGGAGCTAGTGCGTTGTTGGTGGGGAAGGGGAAGAAGAAGGATGAGGGAACTTGGAAGAAGAAGTGGGAGAGTGCGGGGGGCAGCCTTCCTCATTCCCTTTGTCTTCTTCCTCCTTCTTTAACTATCCTCCAGCCCCTGCACCCCATACTGACTGCAGAGAAGACAGAGATAAACACATCACAGGCTCTGTCCTCAGGTGAAAGAACCAAGACCACCTTAGCGAGGGGAGCATCATCTATGCTGAGTGAAAAATGAGAGAAGGACCCACAGGGAAGGGGGGTGAACCTCAGAAGGGAGCATTTGTTGGAAGAGTGAATGGAACACCCACCACCGAGGTGGGGCAGGCAAGCGTCAGGGTGCTGGAGCTCAGACAGTGAGTGAGTACAGCGCTTCCAGTGCTGCTACTCACTAGCCATATAATCCAAAAGGCACTCCCCTAGGTCCAGCTGCAGCTTTTTCACTTGTCAAATGGAGCAGGGGGTGAGAATCCCTTGACTGTGAAGCTCAGCCAAGTACAGTGCCTGGTACATAGGGCATGCTCAGCCAACGACAGAGGTACTACTCTTTAGCCTTCACAACCCCGTAAAGGGACAGAGGACCAGAGCCACAGAGCACCGTTTCACATTTATTAAAACTTTCCATCTCACTCAGCAGCGACAAGATTGCATCTGAAGCCTGGCTCAATTATTCACAGGCACCAGGCCAGACGGGCCTAACTTCAATGACTCTCCAGCTGCCTATAAAATTGAGGCCAAGCCCCTCAGCCTCTCTCCCTCTGCTCCAGGCTGGCTGGTCTCCTTACCACTCCACCCCACCCCCGAACCCCAGCACATACTTATCCAGTCTACTGGATACCAGGCCCCAACTCAGGAATAAAAACCCTCAAGGAGCTCGTGAACTGGTCCCCCACCTCAGTCTACTTGAGAGCATAAGCAACAAATATAAACATCTCCACTAGCATGTGAACGATCACTGAGCACTACTACGTTCCAGGCATGGTGGCAGGCTCTTCTTGTGCATGTCTCCTTTGATCCTGCAAAGTGGGAATTACTCATCCAACTTTGAGATGATGAAACTGAGACTCAGAGAAGTTGAAATGATTTGCCCCAGGTCACACAAGTAGGGGAGCTTAGAGCGAACCCCAAAGCTCGTCCTCTTACCACCACGCTCCACTGTCCCAGTAGCTCAGTGTCGGGCACTTGTACACCCTTAAACTAAGTTCCTTTATCCCAGTTCCCCAAGGTCAAGACAGACCCTTCCTCTCCAGGGCTCTTTCTTCTGAGAGGTTATCAGATATGTACCTCTGCTTCAAAAGCATTTCTATACGATGGGTTACAGTGGTTAAGATGTCAGCTAAGGGGAGCAAAAGAGCTCCAAGTCATGATGCAGAGCTAATTAGCCAGTTCTCTTCACTGTAGACTGAGTCTACTAGTTTGAGGGTATACGGCATCATAGGACCCTTGGTGTGGGAGTGCATCCCACCTCAGGGGTTTACAGCCCTTTATACATTTAGTATATTATTGGTTATGTATAGATAACACTCATCATTAACGTTGTGCTATCCTATGCCTCTTCAGGGCGAATGCCCTACCCAACGGTCAAAAAACCTCTCACGCCACGAAGCTGGGCCACCACTCTTTTGGGAGGCAGCACAGACTGGTATAAACAATGCTGGGCTCTCTTATGACTCATGCTTTATCTGGCAGCGTAGACTTAGACAAGTCACTGCTCTCTGGACCTTGGTTCCTCATCTATAAGACAATAGGGCTCTGTTAGTTGAGTTCCAATCTTCAGGCCCTAAAATATTTCGTTTTCTTCAGAATCCCAAAGTTTCTCTCTTTTATCAACTGGATTCAGCTATCTACACATAGAAGCAAAGACCCAGGGCTCCAGGGCTCCCCGTATCAATCCATGTCAGGAGAGGAGATTAAAGATTTCTCCTGCTACTCCCACAGGCTTCTCTTAATGAAAGTCCACTTAGGATCCCAGTTTTCTCAAAAGGCTTGGCTATGCCAGTTCCCGTCCTCAGGAGCAAAGCTCAATAAGCGGTAATTTATTGAAGCCTATGGGTATAGGGAGTATATTTTCTGAACCAAAAACTCGGCGTGTATTCTGATGAAGGATTTTGATGTTGCTGCTTCCAGGTACAAGAGGCAATCTGGTAGATGGGGGAGGGGAGAATGGCAAAATATCGGAAGTTCCTGAACCATCTGGGGACTTATGGGGACAATAGGGCAGAATAATTGAAAAGAATATAGGCCCTCAAGTTGCCATATTGGGGTTTCTGCCCTCATCTCCTGACTGGATTCCCTGCCTCTGATTTTGATCCTCCAAGCCAACTATAAACAGTACCTGGGGAAACAATAGGGTGCATCTCTCCAAGAACCTGGAATTAGATAAACAAGGTTGTCCTCTGAGAGCTAAGCTAATAAACATAAAATGCATCAGAAATGAGATATGCCAAGTTACCTGAAAGAGCCAGACTGGTCCTCAAGCCAAGATTTCAGTAACATGTCTAAAAAATCAGGTGTTCAACAGAAAGGAGATTGAACACCAATGAAGGTAGATTTTTTTTAAGGAAACTTGAAGGGGTGAACAGGGTTCTTCTCAGGAATTTCCCAAGGAGAAAGAGGTGGGTACCCTGGCCCAGGGGTCACACAGGTCTCTCTAAACGCTGAGAACCAGCCCTGGGGCAGCCAGGTACCTTCTCTCCCAAACATCAACTTGTCTAACCGCAAGTCTCTTTAATGGACAGCTCCCTTCTCACACTGGCTGTTAAAGGAGCATCTCTAAAGCGCAAATCAGTTGACGTGGTTCTCCTGCTTCAAATATTCAGTAATTTCCCCAGCAACATCCCTGCCAGACAAACCAAGCTCTCCAAAGCTCTAAATCTCACTCTGCCCTCCCATTTACTTTTTTAGCACATCTAGTATTTGCTACCTGGAACACTCTTGCCTCTCTTCATGGTTTTTAATTTTTTTTAATTTTATTAAAGCAATACCTAAAATACTTTAAAAAGTCAAATTGTAAAAGAATCTTAACAAAAATAATATTCTCTTTTTCAACTTTTTATTTCTTTCTGAGTTCACGTTCATATTTCTAAAGTATATGGTCATATTGTTAATCCATTTTTGAAATTTTTTTCTTACGTGTGCTTTTTAAATTTTATTTTTTACCAAAGTAATACATGTATATAGATTTTTCAAGTCACCCAGTACTGCAAGGATTATAACAAAAAACACAAATTCCCCACTCTACCCCTCCTTACCCTCAACTCCCACTCTCAGAGAAAAACCATTTTTGAGTCTTTAAACTGCTTTTTCGGCTATTTACCTCCTCGTTTCTAAAAAACACATGCATGCTTCTATTTCTTGATTTATTTTTTTAGTTTTATATATTATGTACTAAATTCCCACTATGCAGGGAGAGGACAGAGCACTCCTACACGCACCACCACCTCTAGCCCCCAATCCTCATGCAGGTGCGTGTGGCCCCTCCTCTCACACTACCACATAGTTATACCATGAAGTATTGGTGAAATCAATATTGGTGGCTTACATTATTATGACTGCATCGATACTAATAATGGATAAATCATGTCATATGCTATAATTA